ATATCAAAGGGAAAAATTTTTTTTTTTTGGTTTCGGCTAGTCATTTTAGGATTTTCCTTTAAATTATGCCTTAAATTTGACTGACAAGAAGTTCATGTACTAGAACAGAAAATTAAGTTATTCTGCATCTGTCTTTTAGAATCAAATTATCTACTTGATAATTTGAATACTGCTAGGGCAAATTGGCCCTAGATCTCTGCTGTGTTCAAGCTCCTTAACAAGCTCCTCCCTCATTTCCATGCATGGACAGAAAAAAAGGTATTGTTTTTCCTCCGCACTGTGATGCGGTAGCAGCCTGCCATCAACACAGATGGAATCCTTCTTGGACTGAGGAGTCTCTGGGCTTGAGGTCTCCTAACAGTCTAGTTATCCCAAAACTTCTTATCTGATCTTTCTTCCATGTCTTTGCATCCTTTCCTTCCCTATCCCTCTCTCCCAAATAAAAATCAGCCTTACTTTACTTTGATTTTAAAACTACAAGTTATGTAAGATGCTTTGATGTGAAGAAAAGGCTCAAATAAAACCATTCAAACCATGGCAGTTGATCCTACTCCAAAAAAAGACTTTTAAAAATCACTCTGCAGAGCCATATAGAACTGGGTGCCAGGTGTGCACCTAGCAATAATCACTAGTTCTGATGAAATACAAAAAAGGAAGTCTTTTCATGTAAAATGCTTAGAAGTAAATATTTTAAGTGTTTTATACTTTTTCTGAACCCAGTAAGACAGGTTTATAAGTCTGGATTATTTGGTGTTACTCCCAATAATCACAGTTCTGATGAAATACAAAAAAAGGAAGTCTTTTCATGTAAAATGCTTAGAAGTAAATATTTTAAGTGTTTTATACTTTTTCTGAACCCAGTAAGACAGGTTTATAAGTCTGGATTATTTGGTGTTACTCCTCTTTTAATTAGTAGTATACCCAGTTATTTTAGCAGGAAATCAATATTTATAATAATAATACCTTCCATTTCACTTAACAGGGTAAATCTTATTATCCTCATTTTGTAAATAACAATTCCCCATGTAAAGGGTTAAAGGTCACTCAACTCTGTTTACCAATAGGGAAGCCCAACGGTATTGACTCACCGACTGCAAACTTGAATGAGAAAGACAAGTGTCCAGTTATACACTTATGTAATTTATTATTCATGCCCAAGAGCAGTGTCCCAGTATGGGGGGTGGTCAGCAGTCAGGATATTTAGACTGGCTTACCAGACTGAATTTTTGTTTTATTAACATTTATTTGTTCGGTGATAATACCTAATTCTTTGTATAGCCCTTATTCACTCTGGTAGAGTTTGACATGGCAAGAGGGCCTAGGTTTTACATCTGTACTTCTTAAACTGTCTGTGCGGAAGGGTCAGTTTCTCCCTAATCAGTCTTGAGTGAAATAAAATAGAAATAAGTTATTTAAAAAATCATGGCTTTAGATGTTGCAGCAGTATCAAATTGTCCTAAAGGATTCCAAATGGTTAATCTCAATTATTTGCAGGCTGCTTTACAAAAGGGTGTGCAGGGGGCTTCAGACCGGCACGGGTCCTTGCTGAATAGCATATGACCACTCATGGAAATTCTGGCCTTACCTGAGAAGTTTTAAGCCACTGTTGGAGCACCATTGCACCAGACCATGCTTATTTCTGTCACAAACATAAAAAAGAACCGGGGCTTCCTTCGTTTCCCTTTGATGATTTCTATCTCCCTTCAACCAGTTTATCCAAGGATATGCTAACACTGGTAGCCACTCCTAGCATAGCTCTTGCAGACCCATCATGCTGCTAAGAAACTCAACTTTGCTTCTTGCTGCAGTTCCATCTCTCAGTAACATGATAGCATTAGCTAATCTTGGTCAACTATGAACGATAGCTTCTTTGGAAAGAACTTCAGCAGCATGTCATCTAGCCTGGACTCAGGCAGTGCCCTCTCAGGGGGACTCCCGTTTTAGTGTTTAATGTAGATATTTGTCCTGTTCCCAAGCACATTTGTTTACAATGATGTCTTGTGGACCTTTGTGTCAGTATAGATTGCTTGCTTCTCTTACCTCTGTAAATGAAGCATCTCTTTTATCACTCAGGCTACCAACAAAGTTCTGCATTTTGCTTACCTGGACCTCTGCCACCAGAAGTAAATAGTTTAGCAGAGACAGCGACTCTGGACTAGAAGAGACACTGAAAGGCAGCAGTTTCAGCAATAGCAGCAGGCATCCTGGCAGGCCAGGAGAGCAGAGAGACCATATGGGACTGCTGTGCATGCTGGGTGAGGGGAGACAGGAGGGGGACAACAGAAGATGCCTCAGGTGGGTTTGATCAGTTGCTATGGTTTCGAAGGCCAGTGTTAATACCAGCGGCTGGCAGCTGTATAAGTACATTATCGACATGCAGATTTGAGTGCAGGCTTCCTGGGAAGAACCTGAGGAAGAAATGACTGTACGCTGCTCAGGGTGGGTTTCAGCCTGAGAAACAATCCATCGTGAAAAGTTCTGATAAAAGAACAGTCAAGGGAGTGGATTTGATGGGAAAGGACAAACGGTGTGGAAGAGGGCATTACTGTGCTCTGGAGACCAGCGCTGTTCAGGAGAAGCTCTACACCTTCTCATCACAAACTCAGTGCGCTCCCCTGGGAAGTGGCGTCACGGAGCAACAGTCACTGTGCTCAGGGAACTGGGAGTCAGAATTTCTGGGTGCAAGTCCTGGACCCCAAGTCAGCATCTTGGCAACCTTAACAAGCCATCTCATCTTTCTTCACCTCTGGTTTCTCATCCGTTAAACATTCACTGAGTTCTGGAAGCTGTTGTGAGGTTCAAATGAGATAATCTATTCAAAAATCACAATTTAAAATTTCTACAACACCAACCCTCTTCCTTCCTTACCGTTTTCCCCTGCCCCCAAGAAGACCAGTCTAAGGTAGACTAATTTCTACGAATGACACTTTTTTTAAAAAAAAAATGTGTAATTCAGGACTCCAGGATCATCCAGATCACCATGTACCCACATTATTATATTGACTGTTCTGAGAAGATAGCTGCATGAGAGCATTTGATCTGAAGGCTGGTTTTATCTACAGGATGACAGAGGGACATCTGTGTTGGAAAATTCATAAGAATGGACACCCAGGGGCACATACCTACCCATGCACTTTATGTAAAATAATAGAATGCTAGGAGTCAGCCTTATAAGGAATAGCCTATAATTATCAGAGCTTCTTTTTTAAGTAACTTAAATAAATGACAAATTTCTCCTTATAATCAAACTGGTTATCATGGTCAAACCATATGATTGTGGTCCAGAGAGAATTTTATATCGCAAGGCTGAGTAGAACTGCCTATTAATGAAAATTTTCTATTGAAAAAGTAGTACAATTCCCTTTATCCTGCTTCCCTTAATCTAATATCTAACATAAGCATAGTAAAATTGTTGAAACGAAGAACTTAGGATTGATACCATACTATTAACTCATCTAGAGACTCTATTCAAGTTTTCTAGTTCTCCCACTAATGTCCTTTTTCTGGTCTCGGATTTCACATTGTATTCCTTTCTTTGTCTTTAAAAAAGTCTTTCCAAACTTTACACTTGGAAGAGTACTAGCCACTGTTGTGTAGAGTGCTCTTTAATTTTGGTTCATCTAGTGTTTTCCCATGATTCAACTGAGGTTATAAATTTTTGACAAGAAAACCACAAAAGAAATGATGTGTCCTTCTCAGTGAATATAGCGGAAGGTACGTGATGACATACATCACTGGTAATGTTAGCTTTGATCACTTAGTTAAGGTGGGGTCTGTTAGGTTTCTCCATTATAAACTAGGGATTTTTCTCTTTGCAATTAATAAGTATCTTTTTGTTGTTGCTTTCTTAATTGATGGTTAAGGTTGGAGTAAATGTCATTCAGAAAAGGTTGCAAAGCGCCCCGTCCTGGTGGAAAGAAGCCGTGCCCTAGAAAGTGATGGAGTCATTATTTAAGTGTTTGAGTAGATTTCTCTCAATCCATGCTGAAATGGATTGCCTGACATTACATTGCAGGATTTGTAAGTCCTACCTCCAGGCAAATCTCATAGTTACTAGCAAAAATGAAAGTGTGAAATGCTTTTTAATGTATATTTAACAACACATAGTCTGGTGATTACTGATGTGTATTCTCCGTGGACTCCCTTTGCTATCAGAGGAGGATGTTAAGAGACAACATTTTTACACATTTATTCTATCTAAATCCATCACAGGTTTACTTTCTAAATATCTGTAACTGTCATTTATAACAAGAGCATAAAAATCAAATACTTTAATTCTAACTCAAACTTTGAATCATAGGATTGCAATCAATTTTCTGGACAAGTACAGTTACTGTTTTTTCTTACTCTACCTTATGAAATTGCCCACTATTAAATGGCACTAGAATACAGCCATTTAAAAAAATAAAAATAGATATGGCTTAGTAATGGGGGTGTAGGAGGTAATGTCACTTTATTCATCTTTTTTATTTAGAAATTCACATAATAGCTCCTATTTAAAGGAATTTTCATCGTTGAATCCAGTGTCATGTCTGCGTGTGTTGAAGAAATAAAATTCACAAAATGTATTTAATTTCTTCCTACAGTGTCATTATTTAATAAGGATTAAGGTACCATATTTTTTGCTTTTTTACTGGGTTGCACAGCAAGAGTTCATGTCTTGTACTAATGTATGCTAAATATTTGCATAGTATAGAGACCATTATTGTTAAAATAGCAGTAGTGAAGGTGTTTTAGATCACAGAGCCCCAGTGGCCTACATTTTGTTTGTTTTGACATTGTTAAACTCAATCTGTTTCTCTAACTGTGACTCTAATGACTACATTTGCATGGCAGAAAAGTTTGCTTGGTGGGTTGACTTTTATTAACAGTGTCTGCATGTTGTTTTCTGCTCTTGGTGTTCCATGAGCAGACAGAGCACCTTCAGTTCCATTGAATAGTTATACACAATCAATAAGTTTCTGTGTTTGTCTTTGTTGTTTCTTTGATGTGGCCTCTAGGATGCTGCCGGCAAGGTGCTGGACCGCTGGGCCATCATGTCTCGAGAAGAGGAAATCATCACCCTTCAGCAGTTTCTGCGGTTTGGAGAAACCAAATCCATTGTAGAGCTGATGGCAATTCAGGAGAAAGAAGGGCAGGCTGTGGCCGTTCCGTCTTCAAAGACAGACTCAGACATTAGGACTTTCATTGAGAGCAATAATCGCACCAGGAGTCCCAGCCTCCTTGCTCACCTAGAGAACAGCAACCCTTCCAGCATTCATCACTTCGAAAACATCCCCAACAGCCTTGCATTTCTGCTTCCATTCCAGTACATAAACCCAGTCTCGGCCCCACTGCTAGGATTGCCTCCAAACGGGCTCCTGTTAGAGCAACCAGGACTGAGGCTGCGGGAACCCAGCCTTTCAACTCAGAATGAGTATAATGAGAGCAGCGAGTCTGAAGTATCTCCCACACCTTATAAGAACGATCAGACTCCCAATAGAAACGCCCTGACCAGCATTACTAACGTGGAGCCCAAAACCGAGCCAACCTGCGTGTCCCCCATTCAGAATTCTGCCCCGGTCAGTGATCTGACCAAAACGGAACACCCAAAAAGCTCATTCCGGATCCACCGGATGAGAAGGATGGGGTCAGCCTCTAGGAAAGGAAGAGTGTTCTGTAACGCATGTGGGAAGACATTCTATGATAAAGGTACTCTCAAAATTCATTATAATGCTGTTCACCTGAAGATCAAACATCGATGCACCATTGAAGGTTGCAACATGGTCTTCAGCTCCCTCCGAAGCCGCAATCGTCACAGTGCAAACCCTAACCCTCGCCTCCACATGCCTATGCTAAGGAATAACCGAGACAAAGATTTAATCCGGGCCACATCAGGAGCTGCCACCCCCGTCATAGCAAGTACAAAATCAAATCTCACACTCACCAGCCCCGGCCGGCCCCCGATGGGTTTTACCACTCCCCCACTAGACCCCGTCTTACAGAACCCTCTCCCCAGCCAGCTGGTGTTTTCCGGGCTAAAGACTGTCCAACCAGTTCCTCCATTTTATAGAAGTTTACTCACTCCAGGAGAAATGGTGAGCCCTCCCACGTCCCTCCCGACCAGTCCCCTCATTCCAACCAGTGGTACCATAGAGCAGCACCCCGTGCCACCCTCTGAGCCAGCAGCGCCAGTAGTGATGATGGCCACTCATGAGCCCAGTGCCGACCTGGCCCCCAAGAAGAAGCCCAGGAAGTCCAGCATGCCTGTGAAGATCGAGAAGGAAATCATCGATACCGCCGATGAGTTTGACGATGAAGACGATGACCCCAATGACCCTGGAGCTGTGGTCAATGACGTGAGCCATGACAATCATTGCCACTCCCAAGAGGAGATGAGTCCAGGCATGTCTGTGCAGGACTTTTCTAAGCACAGCAGGTCCCGGTGCATTTCAAGGACTGAAATAAGAAGGGCTGACAGCATGACTTCTGAGGATCAGGAACCTGAGCGGGACTATGAGAACGAGTCCGAGTCTTCAGAGCCCAAACTAGGTGAGGAATCCATGGAAGGGGATGAGCACATGCACAGCGAAGTGAGCGAAAAGGTCCTGATGAGCAGTGAGAGGCCCGACGAGAACCACAGTGAGCCCTCTCACCAGGACATCATCAAGGTGAAGGAAGAATTTGCAGATCCCACTTATGACATGTTTTACATGAGCCAGTACGGACTATACAATGGTGGGGGAGCCAGCATGGCGGCCCTGCACGAAAGTTTTGCCTCCTCTCTGAATTACGGCAGCCCTCAGAAGTTCTCCCCAGAAGGCGACCTGTGTTCCAGCCCAGACCCCAAAATCTGTTACGTGTGCAAGAAGAGTTTCAAAAGCTCCTACAGCGTGAAGCTTCACTACAGGAACGTTCACTTAAAAGAGATGCATGTCTGCACGGTGGCTGGCTGCAACGCTGCCTTCCCCTCTCGCCGGAGCAGAGACAGGTCAGTAAATCTCCATTGGCTGCTCCTGCTGGGGGGAGGGGGCCTGTCATTAAAAAATCCAACTTAGATGTTTTGATGCACTATAGAGATTGTCCACAGTGACCACACGATAACCAAGCTGCCATGCTCATGAAGGATTGTTGCAGTTGGTGCTTGTTATGATTAAGCATGCAGAATCATATGCCATCTTACCCAGTAATGCACGCCATTTTTCTCTGTGCTCTGTGTTATGTGTGTGTGTATGTTTTTCCATGCATCTAGGTGTGTGAATCAGTTAACTGTGTACACAGTTCCCTGCTTCCCCATGAACCTTCACTTAGAAGCCTCAGCTTCTGTTATAAATATTTCTGCTTTGCCTTGTGGCTTTTTAAATTAAATCAATATATTATCTTCATACACACATATTTATCCAATATAGAAACAGAAATTTACGGATGGAAAGAACCATAGGTCCAGGACATCGAGACAGCCTGCATCTCCGTAGGTATAACCAGAAATGTTATCATTCTTACATGAGTATTTAGTGTGTCCTTGAATTCTTTGAGTCACAAAAATATCAGAAGAAAATGGGACCAAAGTAATTGTTCATATGGGGAAATGGTGTGGTGATACGGGTTTCTTTATGTTAGCTTCACAATGTATTTGAGCACATCTCTAAAACACAGTCTATCATGGGAATTATGCACACAGAAGGGGAGGCATGCATATACTTTTAGGAGCAGTTAGAATATATTATGTCCAGCCTTCAGATGACATCACACCTTAGCTATGTAGCTGCAGCTCTGAAACAGTTGGGCTTAAACAGAAGCAGCTGGTCCTAAACCTACAATGTTCTTTTTCAGCCCTAAAGAAAATGTAATATAAATGGAATGTGTCAAGGTGGTCAGTGGTGGGGAACCGCAGTTACCCTGCCCTCGGGGAGATAAGCTTGTGAGCAGATCATTTACATAATACACCAGCCCAACCAGTGACACACCAGTTAATTCTCCCTATTATATTGGATGTGGGTTTTTTTTGGTTTTACATTGTCTTTTAAAAATATTTTTAGATAAAATTTTATTACATGCTAAAAGTCAATAGATGTGGAAGAAACAAAATTAACTAGCAAGTTTGCAAGTAGCCACCACCCAAATTCTAGTGCTTATCAATTAGGTAGAATTCTTTGACAATGTAACATATAATGGAAGTACCACTGAAAAGTAGTGACCTGCTTCTGGAATACTCTGTTTGTCTTCATATTTTAAAGATTAGTCTTTTTAAAAATAAAAGTTAAAATAGTTTTATTGTACTGAAGTACAGCTCAAGGGGTCCAATTCATGAAAAGCAAAATTTCTGAGAAAATGTGGCTTACTTTCTACAACTCAAAACATGCTTTGAAGAGAAATCTATCTTCTTAAAGCTTTCCCCTCCCTAGTCCTCTACCCCCCGCTCCTTTTTACCTTGTTCTGTAAAAAAATGGTTTATGATCACAAAATTCTTTTCAGTTCCAGGGTATCGTAGACAGTCCCAGAATATGGTAGATAAGATAGCTATAGTACTTTAAATAATAAAATATAATACTGTACCCAACCTCTTCCTCCCCAAGTTTGTGAGTAATGTTCATTCTTTTAAATTTGAAATAGTGCACTAGTGATAATGAGGTTAATGCATTGGATTCTTTTTTTTTAACAAAAATAAAAGACTCATGAAAACCTGCATAAAATATTTATGGAAATGGAGTGTTTGAAGACAAGCCAAAATTTAAGCCTATTTGCATGAATTCCTATCACTGTTTCAGTTTGCTTGCTGAAAATATTGCAAGTCATAACACTGGAATAAAATGACTCTGGGTCCAAAAGGCTACAACACCCAAAGCTTGGTGCTTTCCTTTATGTCACCGTGTTTTTTATGTCCTAATGTATAAGGAGGTACTGTTGAAAAGGTGGTTTGTCTGAGGAAAAAGCATTTATTGATAGGGGAATGTTTCAGTCTCCATTTTTATTCTAAGTATTGGGAGCTTGCCAAGTGACCAGGCTTATGGAAACACTAGAGGCCCGGTGCATGAAATTCATGCACTCATGGAGGTGCCCCTCAGCCTGCCCTGCACCCTCTAGCAGTCCAGGAGCCGTGGGGGATGTCTGACTGCTGGCTTAGGCCCGCTCTCTGGGGAGCAGGCCTAAGCCGGCAGGTGGACATCCTTAGTGCTGCCACGGAGGCGGGAGAGTCTCCAGCCACCACCACTGCGCTCGCCAGCTGTGAGCCTGGCTTCTGGCTGAGCAGCGCTCCCCCTGTGGGAGCACACTGACCACCAGGGGGCAGCTCCTGCGTTGAGGGTTTGCCCACTGGTGGTCAGTGCACATCATAGCGACCGGTTGTTCTGTCATTCGGTCGATTTGCATATTAGCCTTTGATTATATAGGATAGGCCAGTGTCTAGGATAACTAGTATATTCTAGGTGGGAAAACAGTACTGATATTCTCCAGGTGTGTTTAGTCATATAGGGAAGCCTCACAAGACAGGGGGTACATTTTATTTGGCTGAAATATCCCATCACACCTAATCTTTTAAATTCTGGATATTGTCACACATGATCAGTGAAGCAAATTGAAAAAAAAAAATACTGTACAAAGAAAGTAATTTGATTCTCACTTGAAAATTTGCTTTTCAAGAATATTCAAATATTGTAATCCCTCACTAAAAGCTTAAAAAAATTGTGATACTTTAATTTTGACATTTTTGGCTAAGAAGAAATGTGTTCATCCCTGTTGAGTCTATGACTTGAAATAATATACAACGCAAGTATATTTACTACCAAATATCCGGAAACAGTGAGGCCTTTTGGATACCAGCCTTCTCCTGCATCTCAGCAGATTGCACTCGAACATAATTGTATCCCTGTTTCATTCAGCCTTTTATCACCATTTTGTCAGCTAATATTGACCTGTAATTTAATCTTATTCACAAATCCTCTTGAATCACATCTCTGATCTACCCGCTTAGACTTACCTTCCCCTTCTCTTCACTTTTCCTGTGTTAGTCACGAGAACCCCAGGAATTTTGGGCCCCTGCTTTTTCCTCTGCAATGAAGCCAAGACAAGTTTTCTTTTCTTTTCTTTGAGCCAAGACCTTCTCAAACAGAAACCATCCTTTGCCTTTAATCCTGCTGTCCTCGGGCCCGTTTCTTTCCTCTCCCCAGAGTCTCGATTCATCCACCCTTGACTGCACAATGTCTTCCTTGTGCAAATAAAGCATTAGAGGGGATTTGGACTGGGGGGCTGAAGTACGCAAGGCTACAGGGTTTCGAGGATGCCTGTGATAAAACTAACAGAATAACCCCTTCCCTTCTGTTCATGAAAGCAGCCTTCTTGTCTTTGGGCTTAGAACACCTTAACAGAGCAGCATGCACACCTTCTTGGGCTTCTTCCAAGAAGGTTATACACGAGGGAGGTGTATTTTTGTCTCTAGTAGATAGGCATGTTAGTAAGATGAAAGTAAAAAGATGTTAAATACTGTGTTTTAGATTTGGCAGCTAGTTAGCAGAGATTTCCAGATCGTTGCTTATGTTCTTTCTAGATTTTATAAGATCAAGTTGAAGGCTTTTTGATAAGCAAGAATGTTCTTTGTCTAAAGACAACAAAAAGAGAGAAGGAGAGAGAGTGGTGCACACACAAGGTTAGCAATGGCTGAGGATTCTAAGCCTCCTTCTTGAAACTGTTGTGAATGAGTGTGAGTTTGCAAAATTCAAAAGCAGAGAGGACCACCATTCCACACTAACGACAAAGAGCAAGCTAGTAAACACAAAAGCCAATTCATTCTGTGGGTAGGTGGCTATTAGAATAACACAAATTATTTTCTCTCTAAAGAACTATGATACCATAAGATGATAATATTATGTTAGTCCTGAAAGTCTCTAAACTCCTTTATTTCCTTCCTTCTTGTTTATCCCATGATTTTTCTGCTACTAAGATGCTGTTCTGTCAGGGAACAGGAGGTTGGCCCTCAGTTTTGAAGAATACAGATGAATACTCCCTGAGAAGAAGTAAAAATAACTAACTGGCCTAGAACCTACAGTCCCCATAAGAGGAATTTTCTAGAAGACACTGTCATAGAATTAGCTGGGCCTAGTTTGCCTTTGGTCGAATTCTCATCCTCTGTCTTGAATTTTGATCCCTGGGAGGGCTGAGTGGCCTATATTTAAGGGAAGCCCATTTACTAATGCCAGTTGATTTTTATTCAGAAAATACACAAATATCCTCTGTCCTCTTCTTCCCATTTGCTAATATGTTAAAATCTGTTTACATCTGCTTTAGTGATTGGCAATTTTAAAACTCCCTCATCTGAAAGGAAGACTTTCTATACAGAAACTATGTGATTTGCATAGAAAGAAGTATATGTCTCTTTGTTTTTCATCGTAACAGGACTTTCACCATCTTTGTACCTCTCTTCCTCTGAGAATAGTGGCCAATAATTGCCAAAGTTTGTCTTAAGTTTTATCAGAAAGGTAAAGTGTATATGTTTGATTTTCAAGGTGTAGGAAAGGTGATTTTGCTCCATGAATAAATTTAAAAACAAAATAATATTTGCTTTGGGTGATTTATAAATAAATATGAGGCAACCATTGGTACCAAGTGCAAACCTTCTCTTTGATTGCTAGTTAAATCCGTCCAGATTTAAACATGTAAACTTCTTGATTTATATGGAGTAGGACATCTGTATTTGGTTTATTAAAACCTGCTGATGTCTCCAGAACTACATTTGTTCATATACAGGCCTCTGGGTAGCTGTAGCTAAAAAGCAGAGATGTATAGTTTTTGCTTGTCTTATTACCTGACTTCCAGCCCGGTACAGGTGTGCAGGAATAAATTAACATGAGCTACCTCTGATGAGCCACTGCATAGATTAACAACAGAGGTGAAGATGCGAAAACATGCTACCTGCCTCCTGTTATCACCTTCTCAGCAGCAACATCCATTTTTCTCCCATCATTCTCTATGCTTGGAAACTTACAGAGAACTTTTCTA